GCGCCGCCTCGGCCCCTCCCCTCCCCTCTTCCTCAACCGCTGCCGGAGGGGAGGGGGCTGTGGGTCGTTTTCAGGATGGCTCCCTCTGGCTACCGTTGCCGATGGGGCCGTCACGAGCGAAAGTCGGCCTGGGGAGTTGCCTCCCCTGCTCCCGGCCTTCTCCCTCTTCGGCGTTGTAGTCTCCGCACAAGGCCTCGGCGGGGGATGCTTCGCCGAGCTGAGGCCTCGGCGGCAGACCCCGCGTTTGTGGGCGCCCCTGCGCTCTTGGGCCCGTTCTGAGGTGCCCGGTAGGTAGTCTTCATGTCTCTTGGCCTCCCCGCTCTGCATCTCATTTTGAATCTGCAAGGCGATGCTCGCAAAGAGTGTAGATTGACCTCGCTGTTCCTTCCTTTTCGAGAGGCTGCTGCTCTGAAGGTTTTTTGGGGGGAGCGGCTTTTGATACCAAGCTGGGAGGTGAAGCAGCCGAACAGTTTCTTGGAGGTAGAATAAATCCCGATTAGTTAGTTTACTGGATTATTGGGGGCAGCTGAATCTAATTTGGATTTCAGTCTTGACAAATATTTACATAAGAATTAAAACAGATTTGTATTCACGACGTTTGTTGAGAGACAAAATCATGCTCTTATGTGTTTTGGGGGACACTAAACTTGAACTGTAGGTGCTTCAACTCTAATCTGTCTTAGAGTTCTGACATTTTTATATATGGCCTTTTCAAACTAGTTTATAATCATTCCAAGTGTGGTCTGAGCTGAGCTGAATAAGATATGTTTCTTAAATGCAGACTCTACACATTTTATTTCTAGTTTTCTTACCCAGAATTTGGATATATTCTGGTTGTATATTTGAACAACTTCCAGGAAGAAAAATGCATCTTTCAGAAAACGAAATTTGAAAACTGAAATTTCACTAGTGTAGTCCTAAATTAGATCTTTATTCAAAATTAAAATGGTGGGCAAATTGTTGTGTAAAATCAATTATTGTCATTGAGTTCATTGTAAAACAGTGAACATATGCATTTCATTTCTTTATCCAGTTTCATCAATAGCTATTCGTAAAATGAAGAGTGTATAAGTAATTTTGTTTGGATTGCTGTAGATGGTTGCATTTATCATTCTAGTTCACTATCACAAGATGAGCTGATAAAATCAGTTGTGTGTCTGATGTTTGAGTTGTTTTAATAATGTTAATATTAAGCTACTGGCAGTTGCTAGGACTTAAAATGGACAGTGACTGTATTTCTACAGCAGACATACCCATGGTTTTCTTGTCCAGTTGCTTGACCAATTGAACTATAAAAATTCAATATTGATTGGGTTCACACAGTGTGTCAAGCAAAAGTAGTTGACATACTTGACATACTGGTTCATTGTATTATATGAATACAGCCAGTAATAGGAAAAACTTGGGCAGTGCTGTGAGTGCTATTTGTTTTGTGTTCTGCTCTGAAAATGGAGGAGGAGAAATTCTTGTAGACTTTAGATTATGGCATCAAAACAGCTGTATAGTGTCCTCTCCCTGGAGGGAAAATTAACTTGATGATTTTTCAAAAATCAAGTTAATTTTCCCCTCCTGGGAAATTAGTCCCTGAAGAAACATAATACCTTACAAATGTATGTCATTTTTTATAGCCTTATATATTAACTCTCTTATTTTTGTTGGGAGAATATAATGACTTGCTAAGACCTTGTCTTTTTCAGTTGTTTGTACATTCAATTCCACTTAAAGACTTGAAAGCATGGAGATAGAAAAAAAATCAAGGGGAGGGAGTTTATTTTTCCCCTAACAAATGTTCCCCACTTTGAAGTCTATTAAAATAATTCATATGAAATGCTTTTAAGGTAAAGTTTTATTCATTTAAACAGTGTTTATGTAAGATCATCAATAGCATTACACACTGATGCAAACTACAAAAGAATTTGGTCTTTGCAAAATTAAACGTCAAGTAACCTGCGAGTCCATAATTATGTGAGACTGTCTAAATAATATACTTTTGATTGATAACTATAAAACTTTTGGTTTCTATTTTCAGCTTTATTTTCCACCTTAAAAAATGAAGATTCACATGCTTAGGTAGCGTAGGTTGCAATAGTATCTAATATTAGGATATTTTGCTGCTACCAAACTAAAGCAGTCATATATGGTACTTAATCTGGAAGGGACCAACTAAGCATAGTGGCTCTTGTGAGTAGGATTTTTTTAAAAATCTAAGCTTCCCTGTGAAGGGACCTAAATTTCATAAATAGAAATGATGAATGAAATTATCATCTGTGTGTTTGATGCTGGGCTAAAATAGGTGTGTTTGAAAATATAAAAGCTGCACCTTTCAATTTTTTTCCCAAAATAATGTAGGGGATCCATATGGGGAAGTTTTTCTGTATGGGGAAGTTTCTAGATTCAGGACATCTAGAAACTTATATCTCTTATTTTAAGCAGAAGAATCTTCTCTAATTTTATGGCAAATAGAACTGTCATCCAGAATTTCTCTCTTGCTTTCTCCCTGTTTCCTTCTCTCTCTGTGTTTGTGTGTGTGTAGATGTACACACACAGATGTCATCCTAATACCTTTTCTTACCTTACAGGGAGACCAGCTATTTGAATGAAGTGTTCTCATAATATTTTAATTTTAAAATAATGCTTATATGTTGACATTTGACTTGCTGTTAGAAAATATTTAGTCAAACGCTTTTTCTTTAAATTAACTATTTGGATTTTGCAGATTTAACAGGTGATTAAATATGGTTGCAATACTTAAGTTGATAGCAGTGTCTTTTTGCCTGCTCAGATAGAATCTTGCAAATAAGCATATACTTGTATGATAAAGCTCCATAAATCATGAGGCAGTGTCTTCAATGGATTGTATATAGGTCAGCCTTCAGTCTGAAAAGAGGATGTTTTAAAACACACACATGTATGTTATATTTGTAAGTGTATACCTTCTATCTACCAAACATTTATATCTCAGTTCAGTTTATCCTACATAACTTTACAACAAGCAATATGTATTTTTTATCCTGAAGCTTTTTTTCTAATCTTGGGCTTAAACCATCAAATTGGAAAGACATCACTTGAGATCCATGAGCCCACACATAAAATATTTGTTTTCCACTGGCTGTCATTACGATTGTGAAAGTAAAATACTTGTATAGTATTTTGTAAAATAGAAATGTCACAATTGTAGTTTAGTTTAGTTTCAAAACGTGGACATTGCTCTACTTAAATATTAGGGCTGGAAACAATAATGCTAATATCCTGTGAAGTAAGATTCCTGCTCTTTTCTTTGACCTCAATTCTGCACACATTGAAGAAAAATCACTACAGTTGATTTCAGTTATAACTACAATGCAGCAGACCATACTTATTCATAAATAAGTATAAATAAGAGTGGTGACTTAGTTCTAAAAGCTCTTGGGGTAAAATCTATAACAGAGAGTGGATCTACCAGATTGGACTATGGGTGACTGCAGTGCAACTGTATTCTCATGGCTTGGCAGCTTAAGACCATCTGTCATTTTAAACACTTGAATTAGTGGGGCTTGAGAGGCACAGAACAGAAGATAATATTTGGGGTCTTTTGATCCACTCTATGGTCTCTGGCATGCAGGTTTCTGCAGGGCTCTATCTTGGCCTTTATCATTCCTAATAGGACTGTGCAAAGCATTTGAAAGGAGCAGCTCAGAGAATGCATTGACACAAGCTAAGCACCCCTCCTCAAAAAGGTTAAAGAAGCCATATTCTCTGGAATCATTGGAGCAGCTGCTTTGAAGCAACTCTGTCATGTTACTGCAGTCAGTTGGGAAAGCTTTTGAAGCAGTTGAGCTGAGAATGTAGCTGCTTTAATGCTTCAAGGAGGGGTGTGCTTCACTCAGGCCAACTTATTTTGCAAAGCATCTCTTTTGAATGTTTTGCATAACCCTTGTTTCTAGCAGTTAAATAAGTTGGGATAAGTTATCCTAATGTTTTTAGTAAAACTGAATGCTGATGGTAGTTGTTTGGAAAGCTCCAGAATTTTTGAACAAGTGTTTAGAGCTCTGCTTCTAAATACAGTGAAATTTGAAGTTATTTGCCAGCTAAAACTTCAGTTAGAGAAAACAGTCTCTGTCAAGCATGCATTACTTGCATCAAAATTAGTCTAATCAGGATTGTCTTTGAAAACTATGTGGAAACTTTTGCTAAGACAGTCTGGCCAGTCAGACATACTGTAGTTCACTGATTCAGTATTAGTTGTCCTAATTATGATTAATTTTGTAGGGCTAATTCAATGCCATGTTTGACTAATAAATCCTAAACCTGTTGATGGAAGAATGGGTTTTTTGGCAACCTGTCTGTACCACTATAGAGCTACCTGTCCTTTGACATTGAAAATTATCTTTGACTTATTCTTAATATTAGCTTGGTTTGGCAGGCAGTAGAGGTAGGGCTTTTTCCCATTAAATTGAACGAATTACTCCAAAAGAGAAGCATGGTTGGTTCCCCAAGCTGGAATACTTTTTTTAAAAAATTAAAACCTGTCTATTCATAATTTAATACAATTCATGCATTTCATAATTCATGTTGCTGCCATATTGCTGAAGAATTAGAAATGCTTCTCATACAAAAAGGGGGGAATTAGACACATTCTTGCAGGTTAAGGCTATCAGTGGTCCTTAGATGAGCCTGATTTAATTGTAAAGTTCATGGATTCATCTGAATGTCACATTGATGATATGAAGCTAAATGGATGTTCAGTAAATGAAGGCTGAAATCATATATAAAAATTAAGTCCCATTACAGTGGAATTCCTGACTAATTGTGTATAACTACATTCTAAGATTTCAATTCTGGATCTATGTACTTCGCCAGGCTGCTTTTGCTGAATTCCTGTGAGCAAATTTGGTAGTCACAAAAAATTAAAAAGCAATTGGTTATCTGTTTACTACTGTAATAAAAGTTTAATGCACATTAAGTAGTTTGAAGTCTATTATTAAACGGGTTTTTTTCCATTTAATAGCACAACTTCTTGTTGAAATCGAAGGATGGATAGAAATCTGCCTCTGTACGTGTGGGAGATTAGCATAATTGAGAAAAGCAACATTCTGCTCTAACTGATAAGCAGAAAGCTGCAAGTAGAACAGAAATTCTCTGATTTCATAACAACACAAATGGATACACTACAGGATTATAATATTGTTATTTACAGACAATTATTTTTATGAAGTGCAGAGTAATAAAATATGGAATACTAGTTTCATGCCTTTTACATATAGCGTACTTTGAATTATCTAATAAAATTTGTTCCATGATAACTAAATCCAACTGGCCTTTGTGATTCTATAAAACTTTAAATATTTCATTAATATATGCTATAGTTACATTTCAGGTTCAGTTACATGTATGTATGTATGTGGGTGCACACACTTTCCTATGTCTTACAACCGAATATCCATAATCATATTCCTAAAAAATATTTTATAGCAACTGTAATCTTACGGATTACAGAAATTGCTTACTCATCAATGTAAAATGTACTTGTAGATATCTCTTTTGTTTGCAATTTTAAGTGTACTAATTTATTAAAATATTTAATAAAGTTCAGCACTTCAGACTCATGCAGAAAGGTGCTTTGGAGCATGCTTGGTGCTTTCACAACACCTTCCTGGGACTTATTGAAGCATTTGCATCTTTTCATACTATTGGATGGCTGCCCTCCGCAGCTGAAGCACAGTCACAAGAAAAGATGTTTGCTTTAAAGAGTTGCAGAGAGATGCTACATGTTTGCCAGTAAGGCACTTTTTTGTTTTCAGATCTGAAGCCCTGTGGAGCCCAGATATTTATAACTCACCCTATATTCAAGGTATTCAGGAGAGAGTAAGCCTGTTGAAATCTGAGACTGAATAAACTTCAGTCTCAGAATTGCACTGTTAGAGATATTATCAGTTAATCTACTTGGTACAATATAAATGCCACTCTGAGAAAAAAAAAATTTCAAATAGCAGTACTACTTTCACTGTCTTATTTGTTTGTGAATACATGATGTACTAGGTACTAACCTAGGTATTCTACTTTTTATAGTATATAACCGTTTCAGCTAATAGGTTTGTCACAAAGAGATTTTTTTCAAAGATGTGTTTTGCAATATTATCATATTCATAGTAGAGAAGGGTACAAAAGATAGCAGATTTGATGAATTCATACTGTTAAAGCATTATAGTCTACTAATTGACTGACTTTTCCCTTTCAGTTATTGAAATCATGAATCCTGTTTATAGTCCTGGATCTTCTGGGGTTCCCTATGCAAATGCCAAAGGAATTGGGTATCCAGGTATGTAACTGAATCTCATAAAACATACTGCTGTTGTGGTTCCTATTTATCAGATCAGATGCTATATTATCTCAGTTATGAATCCAGTTTGTATGAACGATTACTACAGTCTTCCCCAACATGGTAGCCTCAAGATGTATTGGGACTAAGTTCCCAGAATTCCAAGCATATTTGGAGAGTTCTTTGTTGGAGAAGGTTGAGTAGCTTTCAAGAAGATATTGACTTGGGAGTGTGCCATCAACTTTTTTTCCTTTTTACATAAGGGCATGGAAATTTTAAACAGGAGTTCTGATTATGTGTGCCTATGCTGCTTAGTATGGAAAATGTAAAGTCGTGTTGATGCTATATTCCGTCCTGTGGCCACAAAGTCTAGGACAAAGTCTAACCCAACCTGGGTTCCCACCAGATGTGTGGAGCAGTTCCCAGAATTCGTTGGCGTAGCCATTGTTGGGAATTCTGAGTTGCAAACCACAGCTATGGAGGACATCCAAGTTGAGCAAGGCTGTTTTTGAAAAGCGTTGATGTGGCTAATTAAATAAATAAATAGTTCAGGCATTTAAATAATATACCTTATATGGCAAAATATAAAGTATTGCCTTGTGCTATAGATTGTGATTATATTCATTTAAATTATTTTTATTAGTATTAAGTTTGCTGGATGATAGTACTTTACAAGTAGAATATTGATAAATCTGAAAATAACTTTCAACTGTTCCTTTCAGCTGGATTCCCAATGGGCTATGCAGCTGCTGCTCCTGCTTATTCTCCTAATATATATCCTGCAGCAAATCCAACATTCCAAACAGGTATATGGTAGTACTGTAGAACTGAGTAATTTAAATTTTAAGTTATTTCAAATATTGAAGCAGAAGAGGATACATGTTGACATCTGTGGTAGAACGAGTGACACGTAAACCCTAAGTAGCCAAATACTTTCTTGCAGGACCTCTGTGTCTGAAAATGTCAAACACAAAGGCAACAGGGAAATTCCATAATATTAGTTCATGCTGGACATTCCTTCATTGGTTAGATTTGTCCATCTTATATTTTAGAAAAGCACAGTAACACACAGAGGAACAGTCGTGTGCTTGTATGTAAGTGGGATTTGGGTGCCTGATTATTTCTTGGAAATATAATAGGTATGGGCGTTGGCTTCAGAATAACATTTTGGCTACGTTTTTGATAATGGGAACACATAGTCCATTTTCAGGAGCTCAGAGTCATCCTTTTTCATGATGTGGGGAGAACAGTTCAAAACTGACCAGGGATGGAGTGCCTTGCTATATTAGCTCTCTTTCTGTTACAATTATGGAGTACCTCGTGTGTTAGTTTCAAACGCTCTCAAAGGCAAGATTTTATGTGCTGCAGCAATAGAATTGAAGTTCCTTCTGGGCATTGTATTAAGTTCTGACAAAATGGTCCTTTCAGGCAAGGATATCAGGAACAGGATTGGACTTAAAGCCAGATCATATATCCCTGTTCCCCTCCAAAGTAACTGGATGTCATATTAGGACAGGCCAAACTAGAGCCCACTTATGGCTTCATCTCCATAGAAACAGTCCTTCAAAACACCAGAGATACTTCTAGATCAGTGTTTCTCAACCTTGGTAGCTTGAAGATGTGTGGGCTTCAACTCCCAGGAGTTGAAATCCACACATCTTCAAGCTGCCAAGGTTGAGAAACACTGTTCTAGATAATTCCCTAGAAGCCATTTTGCCCCAGATACATATTCACCATCATTTCTTGGACTTAGCACGACAGCCACAGATTGGCAAGGTTCACAAGTACACAACTGCCACAAAGAACAGGGAACAATTATCCTGGGGAGATTGAGTTTTTATGGGCGGCCCTAAGGGTTGAATGGAAGGCTGGAATAACAGGAATTTTTCACTCCTCTTGTTTGTCCTATGAGATCAAAGTTTGACCATTATCAGGAACAAAGCAGTGCAGGTTTTTCTTTCTCTATACGCTGATGTACAAGCTATATTCCTCTAAGTTTGTGTATTCCTGATGATTGGTCAAGGAATTGGTGCATTAAAGGACTTCAGAGTGTTATCTGTTCACTCAGTGAAATAGGATACACTAAGGTATCTGATCTACCTACCTCATGAACTGAATTCTGTTTCACTTACTGGCATCTTCATGCAGTTGTTGCTATAAAGGTATGGAACCTTCCACTGTGGTTTTAAATCAGTGTTACGCTGATTTATTTGATGGAAAACAATAGTAAATTGAAGACTGTGCCACCCCAAAGAGGAAGAGTAGATATACCCACATACACTTTTCCCCACCTTGTCAAGCAAGCTACAGTTGAACTTAATTCTGGAAATTTCCACTCGTGTGCATTTATGCGTGTTTGCAGGTGTGAGACAGAGATTTTTATAAGTGTATGCAGGTATCTTTGTGCAGGCCAAGGACAAAAAATAATGTTATATTAATTAATAACTGCCAGTTAAAATTACTTGTTTATAAAATATAGTACCCCATTTATAAAATTAATTTCTGGAGAACAGCTGAAGTGCCAGATTACTAGAAGAAGGCAAAAGTTGTCATTCTTGAAAAAGGAGAATCTACAGAACTACTGACACTCGGTCTGATATTGATATCTGAACAAATTGAGAACAGATGATAAAGCAAATTATCTATAAGCATCTTGAAAAGAATACAAGGGATTTTCAAGAACAAGTTTTGTCAGATTAACCTTGTTGATCTGATAAATTTTTAATAGATTGTGTGAATACTGTAGACATGATATATCTTGATTTCAACAAAGGATTTGACAGTACCCCATGACATTCTAATTAACAAGCTAATTGTGAACTATAAGGTATAACAAGTGGCTGTAGAACTGACTTGGAAAACATTGAACGTTCCTCAATTCTGTGTCAGACTGGAGTAGGTACTGAGTGAATGCCACAGGGTCCAATCTAGTTCTTGTACTTGTCAACATTTATATTAATAATTTGGATTAAGAGGTAGAAAGTATGGTTATCAACTTACCTGGTGACACAAAATTAGGTACAGTAGCTAATATACCATAGAAGACAGGGGAAAAAAAATCAGAACTATTTTGATAGGATAGAAAATGGGCTGGAAATAATAGAATGTAACAGACACAAATTCAGAGTTCTTTGCTTAGGAAAAAGTAGCTCAGATGCACAGGTGTAGGATGGGGAAATACCTGGCTTGATGATAATGCTTATAAAAAAAAATATCTTGGAAAAGCAGTTCATTTTAAGGTGAATATGAATCTGCGGGGGTATTTGACTGCAAAAAAGGCAAATGCAGTTTTAGACTGCATCAGCACTGGTATAGTTCCTGAATCAGAGGAAGTAATAGTTGTACTTTATTCTTCTTTGGTCAGGCCCCCATTTTGAGTATTGTGTCCAGTTCTGATTACTGCATATTGAGGATTCAGACAAACTGGAACAGGCTCAGAGAAGAGCATCGTGGATGATCAGGGGACAAGAAACTAAGTTCTGTGAAGAGAGATTGAAGAAATTGGGAATGTTTAGCCTTGAGAAACGACTCAGGGGGGCATAATAGCATTCTTCAAATGCCTGAGAGGATGTCATACAGAAGAAGATAAAGACTGTTCTCCAATGTTCCAGAGTTCAGGATGCTTAATAATGGATTTAAGTTACAGGAAGGCATATTCTGATTCAATATTAAGGAAAAAAATGTAACAGAGCATTTCAATAGTAAGAGCAGTAAGAGCAGTTCAGTGTTGCGCTGTAAACACCTCCAGGTTGGTAGTATGTGTGCAACAGTATGTTGGGTTGCAAGATAGTCTCTAGATTAAATATCCTAGCTTGCATAGAATAGTGTGAATGTGCTTGGGGTAAAGGTGGGCCTTGGTTGTGTTGGTGGCATATTACTCAAAAATTGCCAGAACTGACAGATACTGTCTACATTGTTAACAGAGAATTCTGCTTCTGACACAGGCATGACTAAGTCTGATAACATAGTCTTCTCTCTCATTCTTTTATGTGAAAATCTTGATTGACCAAAGCTATGATAACTGGCAGAGATCAATATGGACCATGGCATGTGAAATATTGTAATTTGGAACATAAGAGGAGTAAATGCTTAAGAACAGGAATGTAATAGAATGGAAGGAAGGAATGTTATCTGTCTGTAAACTAAGAGGAAAGTAAAGATGTAATAGATTGGAATGAGATAGTCTAAATACATGTAGAGAAGTACAGGTAGTCTTCGCTTATTGACTGCTTGTTCAGTGATGATTCAAAGTTGCAGCAGTGCTGAAAAAGATTTACGACAGGTTCTTGAAGTTACTACATCATAAGTCAAGTGCAGTCATGTGATTTTTCACTTTATGACCATGTCGTTTAGCAACATTGCCAGTCCCAATTGCAGTCAGTAAGTGAGGACTACCTGTAAAGGAATAGGTTTAACTATGAATTAAAATGGGCTAAAACGTACGTTAGAAAGTATAAATTTATATTTTCTAATATACTAATATGAATTCTCATTATACAGAGTGTACCAAAAGTCAGCCCCCAGGGGCAATATTATATAGATTTCATTAAATGTTTAAATTGGTTGTCGTTTTCTTCTGTATACTTAGTTATTTGTTTGATTATAACCTTTGAACATTCCTAAGTACAGTAACATTTTTGCTGAAAAAATATTAATTGATAGAACATATTGTGGTTGGCCTATGGGGCCTGATTTTTGGTGTACTCTGGAGTACACATTAATGAAAACTGGAATTCATAAGTTGGTGATGGTTGCATGTGAATGGTGACAATGAAAGAATAAGAGATAAGTTTGAAGGGATCCTGCAGATTCTGAATGGGTACACTTTGAGAAGAAGAAGTTATTCTGTTACATGACAGGAATGGATGAGCAGGAACAAGACAAAAGAATATAGAAAAAAATTATTGTGCCATTCAGAGACTCAGGGATGAATGAAAATTGTAATTGTTTAATGCTAAACTGTTTTTTCTAAACAGTTTCAAATATGTGATTTAAACGTAAGTATTTATGCATACACATGGAAAAGGGATGAATTGAAATGCATCATTGGTTTGAATGTGTATGATGAAATTAGTAAGGGATACAACCATGATGAATGGTTTTGAATGTAGAACAAAACATTTTTGGGTAGTGTCAAAAGTTGATGGAGGAGAAAAAATTGATAGGGAAGAAAAGGAAAAGAGTAGAAATAGTGAGAAAAAAGAGTGAGAAATAGAGGATTGCAGGAAGAGAAAATATAAGTCCTAAATGAGAAGATAACTATAACATTGATTAAGCTCCCAACAGAATGAATGGAAAACAAATGTAATGGAAGAGGATGTGAAAGTTTCTTGGAAGAAGAGTGAAAAGAATTATGGTTCAGAGTGCCAAGAAATGTGTGAACTTAAACTAATGGAAAATATAAACAAAGGATACTTGGTAGAATGATGAAATTAAAAAAGTTGTGGATGAGAAAAAAATGCATGAAGAAAATGATGGCTGAAAAATGAGAATGAGAGAAATGTATAATACGTATATAGAGAAAAAAATGGTTGCAAAGAATGTAGCCAAAGAGAATAAAGGATGGTTAAGATGAAAAGAGATGGAGAAAAGGCAGCACAGTTTTGATGGAAACAAAATGTTTTGGCAATGCACAAAAGGACTACACAAAGAACCTCCAGCAGAGTGAATGATTTGCAATGAAATTGAGGTGAAGGAATGCCAGAAGAAGTATTTTAGAGCTTTTTAAGGGGATTATAATGATACATTGAAGAGCAGAATATAAATGAATATTGTTAAATGTTATTGATAAAGAGAACATCCATGATGAAGAGAACATCCCAACTGCTGTAAGAAAGTTGAAAATGGTAGTACTGCAAGTGTAGACAGTGTATCTAAAGAAAGATTAAAATATGTAGAATGAAGCTAGATTAAAGGGTAGGAAAAAGTAAGGGGGAAGAAACTGAATGATGAGGTAACTGGACAGGAAAGGAAAGAGAAACCCTATTTAGGCATTATAGAAACTAAATTCAATAGGCAAGCAGCCTCTCTCAATCTATTTTCTAATTTTTTCAGTTGATGTCAGATGATCCCATCCCAATCCCTAAATCAGAATTCGAGACCACAGATCTATATTAGAATGTTCCAAAATAAACTGTAAAATCTAATTTCAACCAGAATAAATTTAGCATACAATAGTACAGGTAGTCCTCAGTTAATGACAACTTGTTCAGTGACTGAAGCTACAACAACACTAAACGAGTGGTGCTTATGACCAGTCCTTGATGTTTGGGCCATCCCAGCACTCCCGCGGTCATGTGATAATGATCTGGGCACTTGGCAACTGGCTTGCATTTATGACAGTTGCAGTATCCCGTGGTCATGTGATCACAATTTGTGACCACGGGATAGCAAACTCGATGGGGAAGCCAGCAGGGAAGGTCGCAAATTGCTTGGGTAAGTCTCCCCCACCCATGCACACACCCCCACCAGCCTGCTGCACCTGCCACCTGCATACCCTTGCATACCCTCCCTGAGCCTCGAGCTCATCCCACACCACCTCTGCCACCTGCACACCCTCCCTGAGCCTCACTGTGTTTCTGTTGCGCCACCTGCACACCCTCACACACACTCCCTGAGCCCCACCGTGTTCATGCCGCACCTCCCCTGCCACCTGTACCCCTCCCTGAGCCTCATGGCGCTTGCGCCATGCCGCCCTGGCCACACCCCCACCCAGCAGCAGCCACCCCAAATCGCGCTTGTGCTGTGCTGTGCCTCCCCACCACCTGCTCACCCTCAAGCCTCGCTGCATTTGTGCCACCCCTCCCCAGCCACTCATGCATCCTTCCCAGCCACCCATGCACCCCCTCACTCCCTCTCCCACCTGCAGCAGCCACTTACCTGCCTGCCAGCCTACTTGAAGCCATCTGGGACTTGCATCTTCCTGCTGGCTTCCCCACTGACTTTGGTTGTTAGAAGCCAGCAGAGAGTTGTGAGGAGGTGCTCGCTTAAGGCCCTCACTTAACAACGGCAGTGGGGACCGCAGGGATTGCTGTCACTAAGTAATGACATCGCATGACATCGCACTTTACAACCACATCACTTAGCAACAGAAATTCCAGTCCCAGTTGCCGTCGTAACTTAAGGACTATCTGTAAACAGTTTTTATCAAACTTTACAGTGGCAATAATCCAGAATTTATGACAGTAGCAGTAATCTAGAATGTATTTATTTTTTTATGCCTTAACATACTGTGCATATTGCGAGCCTCCCAGAGTCATTGGGAGTCAGGGAGTCAGTAATAAATAAATAAAAATAATAAATGACATAGGAAGCATTACTTTTTACATTATGCTTATTTTGCATTTCTAGATATTAAAAGCTGAATACTTTCTTGACTAGGCTTGATCACTGCATATATTTTACTGTTCTGTTTGTGCTTATATAGGTTCTATCATCGGGCATGGGGGTTGAGCCTGCAGGATGATTGTACTGGTGGTTGTGGGTTTGGTTTGGTTTGGTTTTTAACCTTAGCTGCCAAATTATATTTATTCTGATATTGTGATGTTGTTCTAATACAGTGGTACCTCTAGTTACGAATGTCCTCCTTCCGAATTTTTCGAGATACGACCAG